TGCAGTGTCAAGACAACCAAGGAGATTTGGCCTAAACTGGTTCCACCTAAAGTTATTATTTTCTGCTGGGAGGTGTTTTATAGAAAGATTAATACCTTAGACTGCTTGCAGAGGAAAAGGCCTTCTTTGTGTTTGTCCCCTAACTGGTGTGTACCTTGCAAGGCTAGTGGTGAGGATTGTTCTCACTTACTTGTACCTTGTTCCTTTTTTGGAGTTGGATTTTCTCTTTGTTTGGGTGCAGGTGGAATCTGACCACAGATTTAAGTCAGTTGTTCGATCCTTCCTTTTTTATGTGGCCTACAAAAAAGGAAAAATAATGTGGAAATGTATTAAAGCAGCCGCCTTGTGGACAATCTGGTCTAAACTCAGGTAGCCGAATAAAATTATGGGAACAACTTTGGGTCGGGGATTCTCCTCTGAAGGACCAATTTCCTTCCTTGTATGCTCTATCAAACTTGAAAAATGAACCCATATCTTCTTTCTTGGTCCCTTCAACCTCACACTTCTGGCTTTGGGTGGAACCTAGGCCTGCGTAGGGCAATTAGGGATACAGACATGGATAGCTTGGTAACTTTGCTAGCCTCCCTTGAGATTGTCTTCCTAAACCCTGTTGAGGAAGACACCAGATTTTGGACCCCTTCTAGCTTTGGTACCTTTTCTTGTGCTTCATTCTTTGAAACCTTAACTCAGCCTCCTATCCCCTTTGGGTTGTCCTTTCCGGTTAAGGAAATTTGGAGTAGGCCTATTCCTCCTCGGGTTGTTTTTTTTTGTTGGGAAATTTTTCTGGAAAGAATCAACACTTTAGACTTACTTCAGAGAAAGAGACCCAACTATTGTCTACTTCCTAATAGATGTGCTCTTTGTAAAGCTGATGGGGAATCTGACTACCATCTCATGGTCTCTTGTAAGGCTGCTAAAACTGTACGGGAGTGGGTTTTCTCCCGCATTGGGTGTTCTTGGTATCCTCTGGAGACTGTCCAAGGTTTGTTTTCTCCTTTTTTCAGTTGGCCTAAGAAGCGAGGGAAGACTATGTGGAGGTGTATTAGGGCAACGGTATGCTAGTCATTGTGGGAAGAAAGAAACTCACGCATTTTTTTCGACAAGGAAAGAACATTGGAAGAATTGTTAGATCGAATCCTTTTAAGGGTTGTCCACTGGCTAAAATCTTTGGAGTTGTTTTCAGATTTTTCTGTGGCTGACTTGCTAAGAAATTGGAAGGAGATTGCTTTTAATGCTAGATGCAAGAGGACTCTTTGTCCATTTTGGTCCCCTCCCCCCTCGGGCTTTATAAAGCTGAATTTTGATGGCAGCAGTGTAAGAAATCCAGGGCCCTCTGGGATTGGAGGAGTTTTCAGGAATGAGGAAGGGATTGTTATTGCTCTATTCTCTGGCCCTATTGGAGAAGGTGACTTAGGGCTGAGATCCTTGCAGCGCTTGAAGGAATTCGAAGAGCAAAGGAATTAAATATCAGCCGTTTGATCCTGGAAAGTGATTCGAAGGTGGTGGTTAGTTGGTTGAAGACAGAGGACAATGGTTTGTGGAATTTTAACAATGAAAAAAAAAAACAGTTCTTATGGCTGGGTAGGGACATTGAGATTCAGTACAGCTGGGTGAAGAGGAGTGCCAACTCATTTGCGGATGGGCTGGCCAAGCAACGAGTGAATAGGGAGTCTGTATTTTGGGCTAGTTTTTAATCTTTTCTCTTCGCACTCCCTTTGTTTTCTGTTTTTGGGGAGCTAAGATATTTTATCTCCCCTCTTGTATCCATATTCCCTCTTTTCTTTTAATTTAATGAAGCTGGTGTTATTGATCAAAAAAAAAATGCAAGGTTTTTAAGGAAGAGGAAAGAAGCTCTCAAGCTGTTAGGAATGTATCTTAACTAGGGCCATCAATTGGTTAAGAACTATGGACTTATTTCATACATTCTCCTTTGATGATTTTTGGAGAAATTGGATAGTGGTGTCTAACAGCCATGCAAGGAAGGACAGGAAATCTGTAGTGTGGATGCCTCCACCTGAAGGATGGGTAAAGCTGAATTTTGATGGAAGTAGCCAAGGAAACCCAGGCTCATCGAGGATAGGAGGGGTGCTGAGAGATAATGAAAGAAAAATATTAGCATTGTTTTCAGACCCCGTGGGAATAGGAGACTCCAATAGAGCTGAGATATTAGAGGCGGTGCAGGGTATTCAAATTGCAGAACAATTAGGAGTTCAGCACTTGGTAGTTGAAGGGGACTCTGAGATTGTTGTGGGATGGCTCAAAGAACCAGCTTCAGCTATGTGGCGACATAGAAATACGTTAAGGAAAGTCAACTGGATCACAAGAAACATGACTGTTACCTTTC